CTTCCCTTATCAGTATCTGACGTTTGGATTGTCATAAACATATTGGGTAGGATCAAATCCCCAGGGTCAGGTGTAGACCACGTGCTTACTCCTCAGAGTTTGTTGTAAAAAGCTGGTCCCACATCCGTTGGAGAGGGGAACAAAACATTCCCTATAAGAGTGTCGAAACCTCTCCCTAACATAGGTGTTTTAAAACTTCGAGGGGAAGCCAGTAAGGAAAAGTCCAAAGAGGACAATATCTGCTAGCGGTAAGCTTGGGCTGTTACAAATGGTATCAGAGCCCGACACCAGGCGGTGTGCTAGCGAGAATGGTGGCCCCTAAGGGGGGTGTGGATTGTGAGATCGCACATCGGTTGGAGAGAGGAACAAAACACCCCCTTTGGGTGTGGAAACCTCTCCCTAATAGACGCATTTTAAAACCAACCTTGAGGGGAAGTGCAGAAGGGAAAGCCCAAAGAGGACAATATCGGATAGCGGTGGGCTTGAGCAGTTGTAGTAAATGTATTAAAGTGCACAATTCTTGACATTCATGAACTGATTACTATGTTGTGGTGCTATGTTAATGCAGGCCCCATTCATCCAGCAACCCCTCAGCTTTGACTATTCACAAAACCATTAGACAATGAGGAGTTTAGGTGAAAAAAAGGAGGAGTTTACAACTAGATTTTGTACCTGTAGGGGTTGCCTTTTACTCTTGTTTGACTGCTTGGAACTCAGTTCTAGTTTGTGCCTCTTTTGTTCTTCATTTGGAGCTTTATTCTAAGAATCTGTAAGGATTGAGGACTTTCTGATATCATTCCATTAGCTGAAGTTCTTCATCTCATACTTTTGCTTGTATTGCTGCTTTCTATTCTACCATCTTCAATCTCTCCTTAATACCATTTCTTCCATTGGACTTCAATTCTTCTCCTCTGCTATACACGTATGTGTCAACTTATGTGCACCTCGGTTCTTTTTTTCCTTTTTACACGCTTTCGTCTTTTTTGTTGTCTTCCTTCCTTGCTATAAAATGTGGACGCTGATTTGCGTGCATTATTTACCATGACGATGTGTGAACGAGATTGGTCGTACTTTTTTGAAATTTGCTGGCTTCTCTTTCTCTATCTAAATTCTAATTATTTAGTTGAACTAGTATGAATAATTTATAAAATAGATAGGCAAGTAATAACAAAGTTAGAGAATCTAGCCACTTGCGAACACATGCCAAATGGCCTATACTTTAATTAAGAAAATGTTAAAAAAAAATTTAATTATACTCTAAAAAGGTGAACCAATACCTTTTTCATTGGATAAACTCAAGCCCATTTGCCAGACATTAAAAAATTAATTGAATAAACAATGACTCAAAATTTTAGTTCTTAATTCCAAAACACCCCACAAAAGATGATACATGTCAACTCCCAATTGCTCATTAAAAAAGCATAAATCAACCAAACAAAAGAATGTGCTGTCCACTTGAGTGACAAGACGGCTTAAACGACCTAATAGCCATTATAACGGACGGTAGAGTGAAGGTTTATACTTTTGACCTCTTAAGAAAAGATGTCGGTAGTAAACTAAATTCAAGAGAGCTCGACGCGCCTACTAATTAAAAAAATCTTTGTGCAGTTAAAGTGATTTGAACTAGCAATTTAGAAAATGATTATCGGGCTGTCTAATTATTTCAAAAGTGATTATTTTGGTCACTTGTAGAATAAATCCAACCATATCGTACATGTTTCCACACGAAAACCATTTAGTTACGAGAATTGATCCAAATAAATATAAAAAATTGGGAAGTGATTTTTTTATGGGAAAAAAAAGAAAACAAATAAAAAAAACAACCAATAATTGGGTGAGACATAGGTTGATTACAAGGTTGGTGGAGGTTAGTGTGTGTTGGGAATCCTAGCACATTATTTCCAAAGCTTCAATTTTGCAAACCAACAAACCTTAAAGCTCACCTTTTCTAGCCCAACATGTGATACACTCAAATCAAACCCTTTTTTTTTTTTTTTTTTTGCAATAAATATAAATATATATTCTATTTTATGAGAGGTTAATTTAAAGAATATATATTCGCGATTAAAATCTTTTAAATATTAGAAAAAAAATGTCTAAAATCAATGTAATTTGTAATGATTTATAAGACATGTAATAGACCAAAAAGGGAAGAAAACAAAAGAATTAAAGAGTACTTGATTTGATTGCTCACACACCACAAAATCTTTTGCGTTTAGTTCACATTTTTTTTAGATTACCCTTCAAAAAAACATCACTTTCTATTCCACAATTAAAGAGTACTTAAATGTCATCCACAACTACCCACATTAGCCCACCTCAATAAACTTATATTCATCCGCTTCCTCTCAAAGTTTCTAAAACGGTGCGGTGCTAGTGAGAGATTTTCACACTCTCATAAAAAAAATGTTTCGTTCTATTCTCCAACCGATGTGGTTCTCACAATCTGCCTCCTCTCAGAGCCAGCATCTTCACTCTCTGTGAAATCTCACAAAAATAAATCTTAATGTGTTATGGATAAACATGGGTAGAACTAGCCTACCCGTCTTTTTAGTATATAAAATATGAATTTTTATGATAAAAGTCCTTTGGTATTCCATATATGAACCAATGCTAAGACTAAAATAGGATTGAATGGTGAATTTATCAAAATTTGGAGCAGAGGCACGTGGATGCATTTTGGTTGCTTAAGATGTTTATTAAACAAATGGGTGTTGTGTTTTGGCACTGCTTCATTACAGCTAAACACTGTGATGAACCTCACATGCTCTGCTTCCATGTTTGTTGATTGGGATATAATTATTGTGGATAAGCATTCTAATTACCCCAAAAAGGGATTAACTTTAACACCATTCAATTCACTAATTATCATTAATACCACACAATTTAGAATTTAGAGATGATAATGATGAACACACCCAAATTGTTCTTAATATTCATGTACAATCTTACCTCTTTAGCATAATATATAATCCATTTTGCCTTCGACTCTGCAACTGACGACCGCCCTTGTTTTCGCCGGAGAAGACGACGGCAACACCAACGTCACGGAGATACAGAGAGTTCTGAGCAGATTTCAAAATGGAAAGAGGTTTAATCGTTTCCGGTGGGGAAAAGAGTGAGAACCTTCCTCCCTCCTGTTCCATTACTCGAATCCAAATCCTCGCTGTAATTCGTCGCCGGGGTAGTCACAGGGGTCCCAATCCGGTGAACAGGCCGAGCCAAAAACGGATGCTCAAACTGCCCATTCGGCGGCGACCCAAAATGGGCTACTTGTCGGTGGTATTGAGCGGCAGCGGCGGCGGCCATCTGGTGGTGGTGCTGCAGAGCTCCGACCGGCACAAACGGCAGGAAATGGTCGGAATTAGTCCGAGAGGAGTGAAGAAAATGCGGCGGAACTGGAGAGCTGGCGAACAAATGGTCGGTAGCAGGATCTGAAACGGGTGAAACTAATCCAGCACCGCCACTGACTCCGCCGCCACTGCCGCCGGGAATCCCCTGCATACGCTTCAAATAGAGGCGATATTTCTGCAAATGGCTAGCCACGTTCTCACGAGTTAACCCATCCACGCTCATCAACTGCATTATGGTTTTAGGTACAGCATTTTTTATTCCCAAATGGCCGACCGCGTCGACAAATCGCTTGTGGAGCTGTGGAGTCCAGACCAGGCGCGGCCTCTTCAGGGTCCGCGCAGGTTCTTCTCCAGCGCCGGCGCCAGACACAAAATCACCAGAATCCCCAAAATCGGCCGAACTCGGCTGGATTGGCACCGGAGGCGGCGGAGGCGGTGGGTGGTGGTTGTTGTTGTTGTTGTTGTTGATGGAACTATCTGGGTTTCTGATATCAAATGCCAAAGCAAGATCAGGAGTGATAAGGGTTTGGGAAAGAGGCATCAATTCATCAGGAGAGGGAAGCTCCTGATCCCATTTTGAAAACCAATTAGAATCATCTTCCCTCATTGTTTTTCAAATCTAAAGCAACCCACTTTAGTTTTCACCAAAACTTCAACTGGGTTCGCTCTAAATTTGTAAACGAACAAGAAGAACAAGACACAAATTATGATCAAAACCAGAACCAGAACACCTGAAAATTTTTCAGACCAGAGAAAAAGGAAGAAGATGATGAAGAAGAAAGCTGAGGAATTTGGGAGAGGGGTTCGAGGTGGATCTTGTAAAGCTCTTTTTTTTTTTTTTTTTTTTTTTT